CGCATTCCAATGCTGGAGCAGGAAAAGCTTGAAATACCTACCAAAAACACTTGAATACAGACATACTGTCAGTATGGAAATGCTCTGTGCAGGTGTTAATCAAGTTAAATCCCAACAGCCAATCAGCAAGAAATGCTCTGTGCAGGTGGAAATGCTCTGTGCAGGTGTTGATCAAGTTAAATCCCAACAGCCAATCAGCAAGAAGAATAGAGGAAAGCTGCATGCCTATTGGTTGATGCCCTGCATTCCATTGTGATGACCCATGCCCAGACGTGGTTAAACAAGGCACACTAACACAGTAATACATTTGCTATAACACAGCCAAAAAACTCAAAATAAAAACCATTCTAAAAGCCTGTATCACAATAATTTAAAAAAACGCCTAGGGGTATTTGCCCACTGTACCTCCATACCAAATTTCAGAACCTTGGGCCCTAAAATGAAGAAGCTGAATCCATTTAAAAAATGGCAGGAGAAGAAGAAGGAGGAGAAGGAGAAGGAGGAGAAGAAACATCAGAAAAAGCAATATGGGTTCACCACCACTTCGTGGTGTGGTGAACCCATAAAAATTACAGAGACGCTAAATTTATTATAAAGCCGTTATATTATCCGTTATAACTAAGTACTTAAAACATACTGGCAAATAAATTGAAATTTGGCAGATTCTATGGCCTTTCTGGTGCCAGTCGTACATGTGGGTCCAACAGAAACATTTGTACACATTCATGTCCTATTTAGCATTATAGTGCTTTCGATACCTCCTCTTGAGCAGCATTATGACCTTGAAATCAACATGAGTGCCGGTTTTAAATTAATATATTGGGAATTTCCGTTCCTTTTCTTCTTTTCCTTTCTAGACATTCCATTTAGGTACATATACTACATCAAGCAGCAAGTCTGCGATGAATGGGAGGATCTGGCCGGATTTCTTGGCTTTGACCCCCCAGCAATCAAAAACATCAAGGCCAGAAACCCCGATGACACGTCTCGATGCAGGGACCTGCTGGGGGAGTGGCAACGGCGGAAGGGAGACGCGGCGACTATGAGAGTGGTGATGGAGGCTCTATCTGATATGGGCCTGGATGGGGTTCTGGACGGACTCAAGCAAAAATACCCTGGTATGAACTGTTAATGACATTTATTGATTCATTTTTAATAAGACAGGCATTTGCTCATGACACTTACCACTGATTAGAATTTGATACAATTTAAGTCCACCTTTCAATACGCATCCTACATAGGATTACAAACTCTGATGTATTTGAAGTATTCAAAGGACAGACACTTCTTTCGGTTAAACCTTAATATCTTCGAAGATAAAAGACAAGGTGAGTTGGGTAACCATGGCAACTGTGACGACAAAGACATGAAAACAGTCCAGAAATTATTTGATGATGAACATGTTCACACAATGTTAAAATCTTAAATCAATTGTAACGTTTTTAACAGAGTTGAAAAAGGAGCCGATGCCACAATCCGGACCCATAAAGAAGACTATGAGGGAAGCTGCAGGTACATTTCTCGATTGCCTATCAGTAGAAAACTGTAAAAATGATATAATGTCAATATAAATCGTCTTACTGTTCAGTTATATTCAAATGACGATAAGTGTTATTTTATATATTCATCATTTATCAGTTGGGAATAGAGCAGATTTGCTGTCTTGTACAAAACGCAAGGATTCCCTGGTATATGTTGGCAGTATGACTAATTGTCTGTACCCTGCCCTGTCAGGGCCAGCAGAAACACCTGGCGGCAGTGGTGGAGGGGAGGGGACATCGGCTGAGACGATAACGGCTAGCAAAAGACGTCGGAAGAGCGGTAAGGATTAAGTGCTTGGCTTACGAAACATGTCATCTTTCAACCGAGCCAAAAGCAAAAGTTTTTATCCTTCAACATCGATTTCTTGGAATTTTAGGTCCATCAGTATCACTCCCGTTACCATTAGAATATCACGAGATACTGTACCCATTATCGTCAATAGGTTGTCATCGATTTCCACATTGACGTTACCCTTACGACCAGACAGAAAGTCTTAGATCTTAATTATGAACAATGACAAAATACATCCCCCATGATGTCTGATTGGAATCTCAATTAAGATTTCAAATGATACGACTGTGAGGATGACTTTGTTTTTGAAACGTTATTTGCTTTTGGTTATTTAAAGGTTCAAGCTCCAAGCCCGTGGTGCTGATGCTCAATGACGAGTACGGGACCAGTAAGGGCGGTATCTCCACCATCCACCGCGGGATGGCGTGCCTACTGGTTTCCAAGGGAGCAAGGGTCTACAGCACAGTCCTGGAAGCCACAGAAGCGGACATCAGAGATGCTGAGGCTGATGGGGTGGTGCTGATCTTCCCAAAGACCTTCAAGGGTGATCTGAGAGAGCCGGATCTCAAGTGGCTGATCTTTGACCACCAGAGTCGTTATCCTGACCTCCCCTCAGACGTAGACTTCATCCTCGGCCATGTCAACATCACAAGCCGCGCGGCAAGGCAGATCAAGGAACAGCGCTTTCCTAACGCCAAAGTCGTGCAGGTCACTCACGTGATTCCAGAAGATGTCGGCTACTACAAGAGTGACGCCAAGGTGATGACCATGGGAGAAGAGAGTGACAGCATTCTGGAAGATCTGCTGCATGCTGATGTGATAGTCTCCGTGGGCCCGTTGATGTACGACTACTACAAGAGTCAGACAAGGCAGGTCAAACCTCATCTCGAGTTTTTGCCCAAGCCATCCGACATCTTCAGCTCGACGAAAGTGACCTACGTCGACACACAAACGAAAGTGGTGCTGTCCATTGGCCGGGTTAAGGGCGTGGAGAGGCTGGAAGGCTACGATCTCGCCGCAAATTCCATGGGCAAGGTGCTCGACCTCTTACCGCACGCAAGATGGCGAGCCCGTGGTGTCAGTGAAGAAGATTTCCCAGAAAGCAAGGCAATCATCCAAGCCAACATGAAGAATGGCAAATTCGAGTTCACTCCCCTGAAGTATGGCACCCAGGAAGACCTGAGCAGAGACATGCAGCAGGCCCATGTCGTTCTGATGCCGTCTCGTGCAGAGCCATTCGGACTGGTTGGTCTGGAGGCTATCGCTGCAGGGGTGCCCGTCCTGGTCTCCCACAAGTCCGGCCTTGCCTGGTTCCTAAGGAGCCAACATCCTGAGTTTGATCGTCCAATCGTAGAGATCGAAGATGACGATGAAGAAGCCGCCAAAACGCTGGCCAAGCGGATCATCAAGATCCTGACGGATGGGAACAGGGAGTTCCAAGCCGCGAGAGAGCTGAAGAAGAAGCTGTTGGAATCCAAGTACTGGGAGGAGTCGCACAGGGTGTTCCTGGAGGCATTTGGGCTTTAAATCACTAGATCTTTTCCTGGAATACTCTGGAATGTCAATCATCGTTATGACGCGTCGACGTCACTGTATACGTGTTGCGCTTGCATCTTATTGCTTACTTTTTAGGAAGTATTGAACGAAGTGAGGAATTATAGTAGGTGGGCCAGGTGGATGTTTCAAATTCAAACTCAATATTTTCCTTGAAATTAGATAAATTGAAAGTAGCATAGATGTTGCGTTTGTGCAGGTTTTAGTGGTGAGGAAACAAGACCTGTTTAATTGTGCCAGAACTTCATTAGAATGAGTATAAAATGGAGTAGGTGGTTTGGGCAGATAGCCATGAATGTGATCTTTACTGAAACAAGTGAAGGAAAAAATAGAGCTTTTACATGTATGCTTTGTGTGTGAGAAGAAAGCCCAAACCTTTTTAGAATTAGTGGATGTAAGACTGGGGATAGAACATTCAGTTTGTTCTTACAGGAATAATAAATCATTGCAAGATGTGAAACTACCATGGCAGCTGTGATTGCAACAGTGGACTACAAGATTATCATGACGGTGCTGACCTGATGGAAACTTGAGTTCTCTGAGTGCCTTAGAGTTAGATGGTAACAATAATAACAATGGAGTACAATAGGAATGGGGGCTTTTTTGTACATTCAGTAGCACTTTTGAAACCACATTTGATTGAAGAATAAAAAGTTACATTCTGGAACTTCTACAATGTAGTTGTCTGGTTAAGACTGCTTCATGTGTGAAGAAAAGCGTGGTCACATTGAGAAGTCAATACCTTTTGTTGTAGAAATTGAAGTGTATAATAATACACATTATACAGTGGATCATCAAAACAATTTTCAAATCATAAAGATATTTAAGATTATGAAAATTATGGTCCCTGCTTTGTCTTAACATATAGTATTTTAAGTCTGCTGGTCGGTGACAGGAAGAAATCCACATCTTGTACCTGATTTGTCTGTTTTCAAACAGGTTTGTACTGTGACAAACTTTTGAGCATAGGTACACACCACTACAACATATGAGTACAGGGACATTGGTGTGTTTGTATTTCAACACAATAACTGACATCATACTAAATCATATATCAATATTCAATAATATCATTATCATTGTTATTCATGATCTTACAGTCCACCTGAACATCTGTATGGACTATGGAAGTCATAGTTGAGTATTTATGTGGTAATTTACATAAAACAGGTTTTATCTGGAACCATGTAAAAAAAACACTGAGGATCAGGAGCCAAGAGAGTCCAACTGTTCTTGTATTGTCTCCAACTGTGGAAAACATAAAACAAAGAAAGTGAACAAATACAGTTAAAAGGAATGAATGAATGGTATATCACAGCATACATTGCATACATTGTACTTTTCTTTACAGATAATAACATAAATAACCCTCTCAATAGTGACCACTCAAGAGACTTGAACAAAATGTTCTCATAGATGGGATGGGGGAAAATAACAAGTGGTTACAATGGCCAAATGGTCTCAATGCAGAGGTGGACATTAGTATAGGTTTGTATCAAAGACACTCTACCTTTCCTAAAGCAAGATGATAATAAAGTTAGATTTTCAATGGAGTTCAACATAGCGAGGGAAAACAGCTCTTCATCAATACAACAAAATAGACAAATGCAGCAAATACCAGAGGCTGCCAACATACACTTACCTGGCTGTAGAAATTATACAACTCATCATGAGTAAACTCCATCCTCACTTTTTCTCTTGTCTGCAAAAACATACATAAAACCAGAGATTTCAGGCTTCTGGGAAGTACCCAATGTTACCTAATTCCTGCTGGCTCCCGGACAGATCCTGACTCCTTCACATACACCCTGTTTCCTGTTCCTGACCTTTTGCTTTAGTGTCACTCTTCCTGTCAATTTCCCCCTCCACACATGCTGTCAAGCCTGTGTACCATGCTCATAAATCACCCTAACACATTCCTAGCATGCTGACTATGATCTGTCAAATTGTGGTCTCTACCCACATTATTCGTGATACATGTGCTACCAGATTGCAATCACTACCCTAAAATATTCAAAATATTCAAAACAGCATTTTGAAGGAGAAAAGGACGTCAAACTCACGTCGTCATCATGTCTGACTCCCAGTTCAAACATGGCATTGGGCAGCTTCATCTTAGTCTGTGAGGCCTGGGCCAACTGTAGGTTCAACCTCCAGTTCACTGACTCTAACTGGGAAAGGATATAGGGTTTGTGTTTAATCTGTAGTTCTGTATGTTAAACATCATATTGTTTGCTGCTACAATGGTGTTCAGTAAGAAGTGGCTGGTACAAATGAACACTAGTAGAAAAAGTAAATGATAAGACAATAAGGAAACATATTGACAGCTGAGTTTGTAACTGTAAGTGCAAAGGATGAGTGAATTTAGTGTGAATAACTGTAGTAGGGATGGTACATCATGGGGATAGATACATTTTGTACATGTACTACACTACTGTTAACATTTACATATATTCTCAGCTGGGCTATGATTGCACATGATGGGAAGTACCCCTCCGCCTTGGCTCACCTGGTCAGGTGCCAGAGTTCTCTTTCTCAGCTTCAGGATCACCTCCTTGCCGTTGGCTGACCATGCCTTCACAAACACAGATATCTGCAGGGACAAATGTGTAGGTAAAACTGTAATGGTGTCCTCATCACCAGAATGTCTTTTTTAATTCACAGTGCAATGGTCAAGCAACAAGGCCAGCTTTGCATGGTGCATGCAGTGTCCAAGACATGACTACAGTAGGGGGTCCTGCATCCTTCGAAATTCATAACCCCAAGACACTAATTCAATACCTATTTATCAACACAGTATACAAAAATATCTGTAGATGAAATGATTAGTTTCAAATAAATAAGGACAAGACTGTAACAAACTCTTGTTACCATGACATCCCTGTTATCATGACAACCATATTCCTATGGCAACTCTACCTTTTCTTCTTCCAGCTGGATGTTCTTCAGTTGTTCTTCTAACACAGCTGGTTTGGCACTGTGGTAGGCAGCCTGGATAGGGGGAACAAGTCAATAGCTTAGTAATAATCATTGAAAGGCAGAGTGTTCTTAGTTTGGGCAAGAACCCTGATCCCAACACTTGGTCCAATGCTTAAGTCTAGTGAGTATCCTCAGAAGCAATGCATCCAGTTTGTCCATTGCAATCTTCTCTTTGTTTACTTGTCTGTCTGTTTGTTTACCTGTTCCAAGACGAAGGCCGTTGTCTCTAACACCAGCTGCAGATCGGCCCCCTGCAGCCCCAGGGCCTGCTGAAGCATCTCCTCCTCCTCTTCAGAAAAGGACCGATCATCCTGGGAACAAGTCAACACAAATCCTATAATGCTGCTCATCCTGGGAACAAGTCAGCACAAATTTGAATGTTGTGCATGATTTAATAGAACAATACAAGCTTTGTCCTTGCTATTATTATTATCATTGCTTTAGCTCACTTTTACTTTAACATAGGCCTAGAGACAGACACATTAGGGCTCACTCTGAGATGGAGTTTCTGTAGAATCCTCTGGAGGAGCCTGGGGAACTTGGCTGCATCCAGCTGGTTGATCAGACTCACTGCCTTCTTTATACTGAGGGGATGAACAAGAGGAAGTGTTATCTACATACACATGCACTCTGGTTATTCATGAACTATCACCTGCACTTGAACTGTGGTTAATGGTTATCTAATCCATGCAAGATCAGTTTTACTAGTTTTACCAAGTCCACTAAACCTTTAACGTTATGCATAAAACATCTCAGGTCATTGCCTTGGTTGTACAAATTACAGTCACACACATAAGCTGATACTGATAAGGACTCTGGTCAATTTTGGCACTCTCTTTAGACTATTTTTCCATTTCCTGTCTATAATGCTATGAAATTTTGTCATATCCATGGATCCATCGGTATGGACAGGTTGGGCCAAGGACGTTATATACTTAAATATATCTTATATCTTATATGCATTAAAGTGGACACCCGCAGTCCTACTCTACTTGACTCTTAAATCTCCTCGGTTCGACTGAGACCGAGCTTGCTTCCGGTTTCCTGCATCCTGGCCAGTACTGGTACTAATTTTTGGAGCCATTGTACCTATTTTCAATCTTCCAACGGCATTAATATTGTTTCAAAGCGTTTTCTGTTACTCACACTAAGGAACGAAAGCGAAATGACATCAAATAGAATTAATTTGAGAAAGAAAACGAAGAAAAGTTGACCCATACTTCGCTGTAGCTGTGAACATCAGCGCCATCTTGTCTCCGGCAACCTTTGACCTTTGTCCCACCAAACTTTTGTTTACCACCTTGTTTACTTTGTAAACAGCGCACACCTGGGTGGACGGACAATAAAGATTCCAATTAAGTGTTTGAGGAAACGAGGTTCGTAAATTTGCCGGAGTTGGGGGAAAATTACTTTTTGCCACGTCGATATACATTTTGTCCCTCCCCTTTTCAATCGATTGTTAGTCACGGTGACAGGCTCTGCTAAGGGTAACGGGCCCGTTAGTTTATTTCTGTAATTTCTTTTCTTTCTGTTCTGTAATTGTCAGGTTTTCTTGGTCATTGCGATTGTTATATACATATATAACGGGAGGTAATAAAGCACAGTGACAAATACAAAACAGTTCGAAGTAGAAGATAAACACGAGCAACAGGAGTCCACTCCCCTGAAGCCTGCAACACAGCCTATCATTCGTTCTTTCCTCCCAAGATGGCGACTGGACGTGCAGAAGCGGCGTTCTGTCTCGGGCAGCAGTGCCTGTCCGTGCCGATGGCGATGTTCGCCGACAACCGGCGGCGGCTGTGCGAGCGGCTGCGACGGAACGACAAGGTCCTGGACGGGTCATACGTGCTTCTGCAGGGCGGGGACTCCCAAAACCAGTACTGCAGCGACAAAGAACTTATCTTCCGGTAGGGACACAACCCCCCTCCCTTCTCTGTGGGATTGTTTCCATATGTTGTTTTCAACTTAGAAACTGTCATGTCGCTGTGTCGGATCAAGAGATGAAAAGACGTTAGCCAGATCAAGATTGTAACTTGACGAAATGACATCCAATTTGTTTAATACCTCCATCGAACAGAGGTTTTCTGTTTTGCATCCTGGTTGGTTGCTTATATATGAAAATATTATTGGTCGGTTGGTTAGTCGGTTGTTTGAATGGTCGGTTGTTTGCAATTGGTTGGTGATGATTAGATGGATGTACCTATAGGTTGGTTGGTTTAGAGGTATACGTCTTTTGAAGTATACCCAAGCCAACAGAAGTCTTTTTGTCTCATGTCTGCAATGCATACCTGTGTTCTTTTCTCCCCCCACCCAGCCAAGAGTCCTACTTCCACTGGCTGTTCGGTGTTCTGGAGCCGGGGTGTTTCGGAGCAGTGGAAGTGGCGACGGGAAAGGCATCACTCTTTGTCCCGAAGCTCCCGGCGGAGTATGCGGTGTGGATGGGAAAGATCCACCCTCCAGAACACTTCCGTGACAAGTACGCCATAGACGACGTGTACTTCACATGTGACATTGCCCAGGTCCTTGCTGATAAAAAGGTTTGAATGGGCCTCTTTATTCTTCCCTAGTATACGGTAGAAATTAAACTATGTAAGTATGTTCTCTGTCATATCTGCTAGTGCTGCTTCTACAGTGGACCAAGGCTTGTTTGGGATCTTTTTTAAGCCATTTTAGGCATTTTCTTGGGCTTTGTATCTGTCAGCACTATAAGACATCTAAAGATGCCCTCAGAATGTCCAAAACATTAGCTTAGCCTGACCTCTGCTTGGATAGTACTACTAGTACTAGTAACTAGTTTTACCTTCATGTTCCTTCCAGCCATCCATGCTCCTGACCCTGCGTGGAGTGAACACGGACAGCGGGTCCACGTGCCGCGAGGCAGCGTTTGACGGAATCAGTGAGTTCAACATCAACAACAAACTGCTGCATCCAGAAATCATGGAGTGTCGTGTCATCAAGTCCCCCATGGAGATAGAGGTGCTCAGGTACACCAACAGGTGAGGCAAACAGGTGTGCTCTTCCTATACACCAACAGGTATTAACTACAGGTGAGACCAACAGGTATGCTTATATACTCATAGGTGAATCAAACAGATGCTGATATATACCATCAAGTCAGCCTGACAGTTGTGCAGGTATTACAACAGGTGAGCTGTACAGGTGTAACATGTACACTAACAGGTGAGACCTAAGGTTTGTTGATATTACGACAGGTGATGTATACAGGTGTATAGGTACACCAACAGATGAATCCAACAGGTGTGCTGGTTTTATAACTATGAATCAGTATGATAAAAAGCTGAGTTTTCTGGTCATGAACTCTGCATGATTTGTAACTTAAATGATATAGTTGTTGATGTTGGATCATCTTTATTCAAGTTTTAATGCAAGCTGGTAGCCAATTATGGTTTATCTGCTAAGATTCCGTTCTTGTTGGTACAGAATTAGCAGCGAGGCCCACAAGGAGGTGATGAAAGCCATCCGGCCGGGGATGCACGAGTTTGAGCTGGAGTCTCTGTTCCAGCACTACTGTTACAGCAATGGGGGCATGAGGCACGTTGCCTACACCTGTATCTGTGCTTCATCTAACAACGCAGCTACACTGCACTATGGACATGCAGGTTAGTGTTTCACACCTGTTAAAACACTACTTTTACATACAGTAACATAAGTCACACGTCCAACACCTGAATGTGCACCTCGTCTAAAAATGTGGCCACGCTGGACTATGGACACATGGGTTAATATTAAACCCAAAGAGCAATTTTGTGCCCCCACCTCCTCCATATATAAAGCACTATACTTTTTGAATTCATTTAGATGTAATAAAGACTCTCCATAATGTCTATCACATCAGAATATATACCACAGACCGTGTGATTATCGAACCTCATTTCCAGGTGCTCCTAACGACCGTCTGATTAACGATGGAGAGATGTGCCTGTTTGACATGGGTGGGGAGTACTACTGCTACACCTCAGACATCACCTGCTCCTTCCCCGCCAACGGCAAGTTCACGGCCGACCAGCGGATGATTTACGAGGCCGTGCTCCGCTCCAACCGCGCTGTCATGGCCGCCTGTCGCCCAGGTGAGTGCAGCTTCAGTCAGGCTGTCATGGGTGATGGTAGTTTGATCTAGAGCTGTGTTGCTGTCATGGGATATGGTAGTTTGATCTAGATCTGTGTTCTTAAACAAGTACAGGCACAGGTACATGGGTTTATGTACCTGAAAAAGTTTGCCAGTCATCTGTACTAGTAAGTTATCCATGAAGCTAGCTGAAATTTTTAGTGGTAAATTGGGTAAATTGTTGTCTTTGTACAAAGGTTTACGTATCTTCATCTAAAAACAAGAGTATTATATTTTTTCAAAAAAAAATTTTCCTGATTGTCAAGTGGTAATTTGTCAAAACTAGTATCATCTTAATGATGCAATTTACCTGTCAGCTCCAGGGTGTGAGTGCTGCCAGACTGTCCAGTTGTTTTGCTGTTGTGCTGTAACCTTGCTGTTGTTCCCGCAGGTGTGTCGTGGCCGGAGATGCACCGCCTGTCGGAGCGGGTTCTGCTGCAGGACCTGCGGGACGGCGGGCTGCTGCAGGGCGACGTCGACGACATGATGAAGGTCAGAGGTTATAGGTTACGTTCTGTAAACTTTATAGAAATGTCACAGCCTTTCTTACAGTTTCTTAAAGTAAAACAACCGAAATCAGCAGACACCTAGGGTGTGTTTTGTTCCCTTTTGGCGAACAGCTATACTGCATCCCAACACTAAAGAAAAAGTAACTGTATTATTATATTGCAGTTTTTGTCAGTTCTGCGCTGAAACAAAAGAAACTAGAGAAACTAGTAGGTACGGCTAAGGTTTGACTAACCAGTCACTTTGAGCACATAATCTTGATTCTTGATTTTTCCTGAAAAATGCTTTAATTAAGATTACAAAAAAGAACAGCAGCATGCCTGTATGTACCCTGTACTGTAGGTCTACCTGGGTGCTGTGTTCATGCCCCACGGACTGGGGCACTTCATGGGCTGTGACGTGCACGACGTCGGGGGTTTTCCAGAGGGCACTGAGCGCATCGATGAGCCGGGAATACGCAGCCTGCGAACCACCAGGGCGTTGGAGGTGAGGGGTCATAGGTCATGTTGCGAGAGTCAGGGCATCTGGGAATATAAAGTTTATCCTCCAGGGACACTGGGCCTGGAGGACACAGGAGGGAATATGCATTCAACCTTTGAAAAGAGCTGTGAAAAATTTTATCTTTCTACATGTCACATACCACATGTGTGTAAAAGGTAGCATCCTCTCTTGTTAGTACCTGAGGGAGGATAGCTTCCTGGCAGCTAAACTTTTGTTCCTTTAGCTCAGGTTGACCTTTGTCCTTTGAACTCTGTCCCCAGGAAGGAATGGTTCTGACGATTGAGCCTGGCTGTTACTTCATCCCTGCACTGCTGGAACCAGCTCTGCGCAACCCTGAACAGGCACGCTTTATAAACGCAGAGGCCATCCAGCGCTTCCAGGTGGGCCTAATGGATCCATTGTGTAACTACCCTATATATAGTTTTGCAAGGGTTTTGTGTTTTGAATGAACAATGTTAAAAGAGACAGCTACAGATTTACTGGTATTCCTGCAAGTGTTGCAACATATATTCAAGCTACAGGAGGACTACATACAAGAATAAGATTGAATATCCAAATTGGCAACCCAAAGATTTTCCCCCATTGTCGCCCAGGGCACTGGCGGTGTGCGCATCGAAGACGATATCGCCATCACAGCTGACGGCTGCGAGCTGCTGACCTGCGTCCCCCGTACGGTGGAGGAGATCGAGGCTCTGATGGCAGAGGGCAGGAGGGAGCCCCAGGCAAGCAAATAGGGAGACCCCAATAACTTAGTGGGGTGTGGTGTGAGACCTTAGCCATGGTAGTAAGCTTAACAAGGTGGAATATTGCGCTTAAACAATAATCTTTAGCTTAGTTACTTTGCTTTGTTGCTGAATGTATTGTATAAAAGAGGGGAACAGCAGAAAAAACTGCTACATTCCTGCACTTATAAACATTATATACAAAATCAAATATGTTTTAAATCCTTTATTACTAAAGAACAGCTTTCATTGTTACTAGACAACTAAAACTTATATAGAAATAAAGTACAACTATGGTGCCTTATAATGTAAGTTTTACTGCTGATATTTTCAAATGTGTCTGTGAGAGACAAACCAAATGACTTTATATTGACCATCAGAAAAGTTAGATTGTGTTGCATAATTGAATAATTAAGATCTTAATTCGTTGTCACTGCTAACAAAGTAGCTAACTCAACTGCTTTTAGATGTCTTGTTGAGATTCGATAAGTCTCTTTACCCCCCGTCCCAAAATAACAGCAAAATGTGTGGTATGAAACTCACTAGTTGAACCCCTGAGCTACTGTATTTCCTTCAATATCAATTTTGTGTCACAATTGAGGACTCTTAAATTGGAGTCATTGGTACCCTGGTGTTCAGCAGAAATAATTGTGGAATCAGAAGTCATGTATGTTGTCATGTCTGCAAGTCAACCCAATTACTGACTGAAGACAAATAAAGATTTCATTCTGTGCAAATATTTTGAACAGGACACTCCTTCACAGCAATATGTGCCAAATAAATTTGCTTTATGACAGAAATATTGGTACATGCCTTTGTTGTTTTCTTCTGAGTTTTGCTGGAAAAACAATATCCATACAAATGTATTCTACTAAGTCTCTCCATGCTTGTATTTATTAGTAACTGGATGTTATATTTATGAGAACTTCCTGACTAGTATGGTCTGACAGACCAGTACTGTACTAGTTTTACTCCTTTTCAGACAACAATGAGGGAATGTTTGGCCCTAGGCTCTCAAGCTTTGTTTGTGCTGGATTACATTTAATTTAGAAACTAAAGTCCTGTCATTATAACAAATTGTCACCTTCAGAGCAAATAATTGGGCCCAGGGGTCATATTTTGGATAGATGTTTTGGAAGGCGGGGGGAAAGTTGTTCATTCATATGAAAGGCTGTTGGAAACACTATCCGTCTTAATTACCATTGAGGCCATAATACTTTCAAAGCTTCCGACACATTTAAATAAGAAAAAGAATAAACTTGAGTTTTTTTTTATTATACATGCATAAAGATTGACACATTTGGGCCCACGTTTTTTTTTTGGGGGAGATATAACGGGCCAAAAGACACAGAAAAGAAACAAGGAGGTTATAACCATATTTACGAGGGGTGATCCAAAAGTTCTCGGCCTCTCCCAAAAAACGTGATGGCAGAAACATTTTTCTTACACTATTTTTTAACATAGTCTCCTCTAACTTTAATGCACTTGGTCCAGTGATGTTCCAGCTTTCCTTTCCCTTGTGGAAGAACATTTCGTCTGAAGCCCTTAAAAATGCCTAAACCACAACAATGACGCCATCATCACCATGAAAACGTTGACCACGTAAGTGGAACTTGAGTTTAGGAAACAGGTAGAAGGCCCACGGTGCTGGGTCAGGTGAATAGGAAGAATGGGGTAAGACTTCAAAGCCACATTCGTTTGCTGCTGCCACTGACCCCCGTGCTGTGTGGACAGGTGCATTGTCAGCACGTCAAGTCGGAACTTTTATCCCCTTTTCTCTGTGATTGTTGCCCTCAAATGCCGCAATTCTGGTGCACAGTACACCCCATTGATGGTTTGACCCTTTTGCAAGTAGTCAATAATGATAACCCCCTTACTGTCCCAGAAAACAGAGGCAAAAACCTTTTCAACGGGTAAAACTCGCTTGGGATGCTGGGAACCGTTCTTCATCAATTATTTGCTCTGCTGTTTTGATTCGGGGTGAAAGTGGTGAACCCATGTCTCATATTGGGTGACAAATCGTTTGAGTAAGTTGCCTTGATGGACTGAATTCGTTCCTTGAAATGTCCAGCCTGTTTAACGTGTAATGTTCAGACAACATTCTAGGCATTCATCATGCAGACAGGTTGCTCATCCCCAGGATGTCTGACAAAACATTGGGAACTGTACCACAAGTCAGGCCAAAGAACCTGCTACATGTTGGACAGTCTCACATCTGTCATTCACTACCATGTGATGGGTGGCCTCAACTGGATTGTCCATGGTGCTGATTTGTGGCATCCTGACATATGTTCATATTTTGTGCTCTCCTTGACGCGCTTAGAGCTAGCAACCCAGTTCTTTGTGGTTAAATAAGAAGGTGAGTCATCACCAAGTGACTTGATCATGTCTTTATGGATTTCCCTAGGAAACATAGCTTTTTATCGATACACTTGATAACAGCACACGCTTCTGGTGCGGCCATTTTGTGATTTTGCCCTCACCCACCCCATTTTCACGGGGCGTCACGTGCTAATTAATGAATGTAAAAATTTGCATTTTTGTGTGCAGTGATGTAAGACGTCATAGTATACAGTTATACCAAAGAATACGCGTTTGACCTCTATTTTCTAGGTGAGGCCGAGAACTTTTGGATCACCCCTCGTATCTTGGTAGAAACAAACGGTGGCCAGAGGAATATCTAAGCCGCTGATGCTAATTAGCCCCGACGTTTTGACGAGCCACTCGAACGGCGCGGCTTTGTAGTTTGTGTCCCCGGACGTCACGGGATCGTTATGACCAATAATTACGTCATGTGACTCGCACCCCCCTGCGCTGACCGAACGATGACCCCTCCTGACCCCTCAGTAAACATCGTCTGACAATCACCACGGCCACGTGATCCTTCTGTGTTTTTTGTTGAAATCTCGCCCAGACGGAGTGAGCGTTTTTTTCTGTTCCTCCATATGGAAGATGGGGGAGACCGTTTTAACCAGGAGACCTGCACCGTACGTCCGATGGAATGTCTTGGTAGGTGTGCTTTGCCTCACCTGTTTGCGTTCGCTGACACAAGGAGCCCCGATGCAAAACGTCAACCCCGGGCCCGGCCTTACCTCGGCAGTTGGTTTCGCAGGTGGGTAGACTTTTACAGAACATGTACATTTCTAGATGAAGCTTGAATATCTTTACTGTTAAATTGTAAAGCGGGAAAAAATCGATCGGAATGAAACAAACATGTTGAAACTACAGTGAACTTTGATACCTGGTACATAACGTTACACGTTTGTGTGCAGTCACTACAAGTGTGCTTGCTGTGTCGACGACCTAGGCCTTGAGGCGACATTCTCAACTTGTGATTTTCTTTAAGCAGACAGACAACTTGCACTTCTCGGGCTATCACTGGAAGCGACTTTGTCTGAGCCTGACTGGACCTCGCTTTTCGCCGGCTCCCCTATCTAGTAGGCGGACTATGTAGGGAGCCTCCTGGAGCTTGGGTTTCACAGGCTAGACTCAGTGTCTGAAGTCCAGTCGCAATGTCCTTCCTTATTTCTTGTACTTTGAAATACATTGCTTGATTGGAGATAGCTTTACGGTTGCCGGCCGCCCAATATCCAGTCGGCCCCGAGGGGCCATAAAAGCCGCGGACGGCAGAGTTTGCGTTATACCCTGCGTTATACCATGGGGGTAAACCTCCATGGTTAAACAGACTAGATTGGAGATATCGGTTCAATTTATATACATGTATCTATTTGTTTGTCTGGTGTACATAGTCAGTGCTTCCCAACTAATGAGTAGATGACTAAAGTCGAGAATACACCATTGTTACATAATCACAGATACATACACAATTTCCTTTGCCGCGGCAATACTATAACTTAGCATGAGAGAATGGCTTTAGCCAGCGCTAAAATTATAACGAGTACTAGTACTAGTTCGACGTAGCAGTTATCCGCTAGTTGGATGTCAGTGAAACCGGTGTGTCAGGCCGAAGGGCGGTTGTACCTGGCAGGGAATGATACGGACAACACACACATGTAAACAATAACGACATAACAAAAGGCCTTCGAACTTTCACCTCAGTGACCTGCATTAATGACGTGTGTGACCTTGGCAGTGTGGCCCTATCATGTTACCTGTTGTTCCACTTTGGCACCTGGCGGTATGCAGCCCCCCCCCTCTACGCTCTGCCAAGTTACAATTTGTCCATGATAGCTCCTTGTCTGTCTTAAGACACAGCCTGAAGACAGTGTGACCATGGATCACCTGTTGAGATTGTCAGGTGAGTTGGTGAATGAAGGAAAGAGTTCGTTTGTGCTATCACAAGCTAAGTATAGATCAAGGTGCAGCGCTCCAGGGTGGTAATAGGGTTCTGGGTAGAATTGCAGAGCACATAAAAGTTCGGTATCTTAGTGCAATGGCTAATGTATAATAGTTAATAGTATATGTACAAGTTAAACTTCTTCTCGCTTACCAAGACAGCTGTAAATGTAAAAAGTTAGTAAACCTTGCGGGCTGATGAAAGAGAGCCCAGTGTATACATTGTATATCCAGCTGTCACGAGCTGAGTTTGTCCTACAGGATGGTGTTTACGTGTACATGTTTACAAGCGCGTTTTCTACTGTGGTTTTGACACGAAGGGTTTCCGGCGGATTTCATGTCCTATTCTTCCACTGTTATTGTGTTGATTCACCCTGTTATTGTACTATATTTGCAGATCGCCGGCTGGGTTTCTCGGCTGCGCGGAACGACTGTGTGCCGCCCGCTATAGATGAGTTCCCGGCGGACTTCATGACGCAGTACCAGCGGCTGCACCAGGCTGGCGTCACCATACACCTGCTGGTGTCGTGTTACATGTTCCTCGCGATCACTCTGGTCTGTGATAACTACTTCGTACCCGCCTGCGAGGCCATCAGCTACAGTGAGTAATGAATGATTTTGTAATGCCAAATATGTTTCGCAACAACTGTTAAAACGATACTACAAGACTATATATCTTGCATTTATAACTACAAAATATTTATCAATATAATATTAATGAAAGTATGAGTAACGTTATTTTCATGTCTGGGGCAGAGAACCTCATCTCCGAACAGATATCTAATCTATGTACATGTAATCCCACATGCTTCCTTGTTACATGTCTCTAGTGACGCGAAGCATTGGCGCGATAGTACGCAGCAGGACGCATACTCGGATAGCCTTATAAGATTATACAATAACACAGAACGCACAAGGCAGAACAAGTTTCTACCAGACTCCTTGGACTTACACGTACGGATAACCACGGTTCAGTTGCAATTGTAGGAATTTGGTTACATTCGGAAAGGGGACATTGGCGACAATCCGTACGTGAGGAGAGTTTTCTTCAATAAACTTCAATCGTTAGTGCGGTGCAGGCAAAGTGCGTATACTACTAGTATGTGTCTATTTCCCAAATCCAGCACAAAATGCCCGCCGGCCTGGAATCCATGGCACTCTCATTACGATGAACACAAAACACGAGCTATTTTGTTCATTGTTAAGTCCAAATCAAGATAAGCACCAGAATAATTTCAGAAAACATGAAACGTTGTGGTAGCAACATGCAACAGCTCAGGGTCGCAATTACTTCCGGGTTCCGCCATGTTGGAAGATACCATCGTTGCGCCATAGAGAGAGCGGGGTCTGAGTTATTATTTCATAGGTGTATTTTCTGATTATTTGGGGGGATTTGGGGTCCCAAAAATTGCGCCCGACCCACCGACAAGCGGCAGGCGACGCGGTAATGTGTTGGTGCAGGTGTCAGCAGAATTACCCTCACTTTGCGTTCATTGGATAATTGCTCACCCCCTGACAAAGACGGTTAACCCAACCACCTGCGCCATGCGGAATAGGTGCATTAGACCCGTGAGATTTCTTGTGGGCGTACTACACATTATTCTCTATTGAAAATTAAGTTTACCTCTAAAATTATTTATAGTCGTTTTATGCAATGTAGACAATTGTATTGTAGACTTGAACTTATTCCAAAATCGACAACATGATAAGAATGGATCTGGAAAAACTAATATTCACTTGTCACATAAATTATGATAATGAGGCCGACCGACTCCATTTTGACTAACCTACGTGGTTTATTGACTATCTGTCGCAGGGTGTCGATGATCCTTAACTAAATAACCAGATGAATTAATGACAGGTGAAGTTGTGGCGTTCAGACAAGACAAACATATCATCTGTACACGGGACAAACCATTTGTGGTGTGTGGAGGGGTGAACTGTCGGTTTGCATTGCTGCCTCCGGCGGACTCTATGTTCCTGGATCCTCCTTTCGCTTTCCGAGAAACAGCAGATCTAAAGAACCCGATTTATTAGCCGCGATGATCATCCCACAGCCAGGGTAATCCATCGCCTAAAGCGTTGTAGGAGAGACGTCTAGCGAGATGATTGAGAATAACAGATCCCCACCTTATTAACCATCTATAACTATCAACTATCAGTTCCAACAGAAGTTTAATTTTCCATCACTCCAGGGCTGGGGCTGCAGGAGCACGTGGCCGGTGCCACTTTCATGGCGGGGGGTAGCAGCATCCCGGAGTTGGCCACGGCGTTCATCGCTGTGTTCTTCACACAGGGCGACATCGGCGTCAGCACCATAGTGGGCTCGGCCACCTACAACATGCTGGGCATCATAGGCTTCAGTGGGATAGCAACGGGCATGGTACGGGACCAGTCCTTCCTTCCCTCCTCCCTTCCTCCCTTCCTTCCTTCCCTCCTTCCTTCCTCCATCCCGCTCTCGTTTTCTCCCTGTTGTCCTCTGAAGGCTGGATGTCCCCATTTGTTTAGACAGCAATAAATTTACGTTTTTTTTCTATGCAATGAAACGGCGATGTCGGCCAGAAATAAATGGTATGATAAATGCTACACATTTTGGTACTCTTAGCTCCACAATTAAGTTGCAATGTTTAGATTTCCCCTTCCCGCGTCCCCAGGTGGTGTACCTGTCGGTGTGGCCGATATTCCGGGACTGCACGTTTTACGCGCTCAGCATCGCCATCCTCATAGCGGTCATCTCGGACGGAAAGGTCTACTGGTACGTACAGCTACAGGGGTGTGGGCGGATGGTCTGAGGGGTGTGTGAACTTCAGAAGGGGAGGGTTGTATAACAAGCTAAGCATCGCCGTCCTTAAAACCGTCTTGTCTACTTCGAGTAGTTGGTATAAATCTCCTGGCAGACTCCTGCATTCCCCCACCTATTATACTGTAGTAGTTATTGTAGTTCAGCATAGTGCCTGAATGAGCCCCTAAAACCACTGTTCTTCACATGGACACACCAGCTGAACCGGTTCCCTTCCATCCCAGGTACGAGGCGTCCATGATCCTGCTGCTGTACATTGTTTACATCGTTGCCATGGTGTTCGACACGCGACTACAGGCCGCCGGCTTCACACTCGCGCAGAGACTGAAGTAATTATTCATATCATATTCGGCTACCGTACCAACTGCAGTACGTCTTTCATTAACTGTGCATTGCCGAGTTGGCATTAACTCCCTGCTTGTCAGTGCTGATCGGTCAAAATTAAATTCATTTGTGTGACCATTGATTTTATGAGTGAAACGAGATGCACAATGAAAAGTTATGATTAAAACTAGAAAGGCCGACATTTGCTTGAGAGCAAATGCAGCAGATGGCTTCACCACATCCCCCATACCGAAAATGGATCTATCCTACGATGGCTGCCAATAGTCTACACCCCCATGCAGCAATGGAACCTTCCAATGCCGGAAATAGCCAAAAAGCCCTATTCTACATAACTTTAAAGTGGTGTATGTCAAAATCGTGAATGACATTCTTTGAACATGTGTCCAAGGTATCCCCATACCAAATTTCAGGTCATTCGGATTTAATATTAGGGCACAGGAGCCAAAAATGTACATTTTTGGTCCGAAAATAGCCAAAAGGCCTTATTTTTTCCAATTTTAAAGTAGTGTATGTCAAAAGCGTGAATGACATTCTTTGGACATGTGTCCAAGGTATCCCCATACCGAATTTCAGGTCATTCGGATTTAATATTAGGGCACAGGAGCCAAAAATGTACATTTTTGGTCCGAAAATAGCCAAAAAGCCCTATTTTTCACAATTTTAAAGTGGTGTATGTAGAAAGCTTGAATTAGGTTTTGCAGACATATGTCCAACGTATCCCCATACCAAATTTCAGGTCATTTGGTTTTAGTACCAGGGCTCCAGATCCCAAAATGTATATTTTTTGCCTGAAAATGGCCAAAAAACCCAAATAAAACAATTTTTCAAAAAAATGAAAAAACGCGTCGGGGTATTGGCCCACTCTACGTCCATGCCAAATTTCAGGTCATTTGGCTGAAAAACGGCTGAGTTGAATCCCTTTGACTGTTTGGCAGGAGGAGGAGAAGAAGAAGGAGGAGGAGGAGAAGAAACATGAGGGAACACAATATGTCTTCACCACTTTGTGGTGAAGCCATAAAGACAATATAGATACGCAAAAAACTCAAAAGAGCATTTTCCGAAATTCGTTGCAGAATCCGTCAAATGAATGTTTGTCGCTCAGCGGTCGTCGCCTCTAGTGTAATTGGTTATAACGAAAGCTTTTGTTCAGTCTGGCCCACAGATTCGGGACGCCGGAGTCGGACCGGGAAGAGAGGACGTCTCTGCTGTCGCGGGGGGACAAGGAGGACGATCTGTCACAGTCTTCCGATTCCGGATACGCCACGCCCAAGATATACACGCCGGAATGGCTAGACTCGGGTAAGACTCCAGCCACATCAGGCCAAGGCTGTAAACTACAGAATGGTTAGATTCAAGTAAGGTTCCGGATACGTCATGTTCAGGAAATACACTTCGGATTGGTTAGACTCAGGTAAGACTCCGGATATGTCACGCCCAGGATATACTAGTACACTCTAGAATGGTTGAATTTAGGCAAGACTCGCGGTACCTCACGCCAATGATATACATTGCGGCCTATGGCTAGATTAAGGTAAGTCACGCCCTGATGTGAGCCTTAACCTTTAAATTTTGCTTGAAATAAAATCTCTTTTTGATTTTCTCACAGAGCCCGAGTCGTTCTTTGAGATGCCTGAGTCTGACGTAAGACGGATATTCTGGGTCCTGGCCCTCCCGACCAGCGTCCTGCTGTACCTCACCATCCCGGACTGCAGACAGAAGAGATGGAGGAGCTGGTATCCTGTCTCCTTTGTCCTATCCGTGGCGTATATAGGCGGCATGGCGTACCTACTGGTGTGGATGGTCACAATTATAGGTGTGTTCATAGGTCTTATGTACAGGTGTGGATGGTCACAAAGGTGTATTCACAGTTACTTAAATACAGTAATTACGTTACAGAAAGCAAGGGGGGATGGTATAACTGAAGACTGAAAGGACGAATTGGAGGTCAAACTGGTGTCACCACAGCTAGGTTGGAAGCAGGTGACAATGAATATACAAACATGATAAATACATAATAATTGATAAAACAAAAAACATAACTATATAATACTTGTGCAAATACTTCAAGGGAATGCGAAAGCCTTAATTGGTTTCTTGTTTCCTGTGCAGGTTACACGTTCGGTATCCCCGACACAGTGATGGGTCTGACGTTTCTGGCGATCGGAACCAGCCTGCCCGACACTGTGGTCAGCGTGCTGGTGGCCAGAAAAGGTACGGGACGGCAGGTTTCTGTGTTAATGTGGCTGTCCTACTTTTTTCTCGGTCACAGCAGAGAAAAGGTCGTGGGCAGAGAGCAATGGGGCAATAGTAGATCGTTGATTTATTAATGTATTGATATGTTTATAGATTAATTGATGATTACCATCGTCCTGCTCCAGGGCACGGTGACATGGCGGTCTCCAACGTGGTCGGCAGCAACATTTTCGACATGTTCGCGCTGGGCCTGCCGTGGTTCATCCAGACGGTGATGGCTGCCCCGGGCAGCTGGATCACCATCAACAGCTCAGGGATGCTCTTCACCGCGCTGTCGCTGCTGTTCGGCATCGTGCTGGTGCTGGCCGCTGTCGTGCTGTCCGGCTGGCAGCTGAACCGGAGGATGGGCGCGGCCTGTCTCGCCGTGTACGTGCTGTTCGCAGTCCTCGCGTGTCTGTACGAGACTGGCGTGTTCGGCGACTTCAACCCAGACATCTGCCCCATAGAGGCATGAACAAACAATCTCCGAATGCTCTTTGCAATTGAGATAGAGATCTATATAGTTTGTGTCCATTCAGGGACAAGTATATACTCATATTGTTATATCCGATGGAAAATGCCCTAGCAGTGTCGCATTTTAGAAGATTGTCAACGAAAGTATGAATAATTGGTACATAATTAAAAAAATCTTAATGTTTAATATCAACTGAATTTTGGATGTCAACAATGACGAATCATGTTGCAATATCAGAATGACTAGCTATTTATAAACACCTAGGACAGAAAAACATATGCGTTAAGAAATGCATATGGACTTCGCCAATTGTGTTTATTATTCAGGAATATTATTATCTAGTGCAAATGTTACTTTCCATACATTATCTATATCTCCATAAGACAAACAGATTTCAGGAAACGGTGATGCTGGTAGTTTACAACTTATGCAAAGTGCAATACTGTGAGCAAGACATTTTATAATACATGTGCAAGTTGTTTACTTAATACACTTACGTGGAAGCATCCTTATGTTTTACAAGACTTTGAACAAGGCACTGCAATCTTGTACTACTACTTTTCATGTCGACTTATGCATCATCACCAATGTATTTATGTGGATACAAAATGTATTAACTATTATCTCCCAGAAATATCGTTGTACAACACCCATTGTGTTTATGACAACCGACTTTTGTAATGAAGACATGACAATTTCAGTTAATGTTTTGGAGGATTATAGATGATCTTATCTTCATGCTCAACAAAAAGTTACCTGTGAGTGAACATAGACTACATCATAGTACTGCTATTGTGCCACTACTGCACTACTATTCTACTGAAAATGATTCAGTTCTTGAAAAATAGCGGCAATTTTTGATAGACTGGATCAGTTTATTTCAAATCTAGTCCAGCTTTTCTACCTGAAACAAGTTATCCTGTTACAGGGGTCAGTGAGCCATTGCCTCCTAAATATGTACACTAAAGCCACTAACCAATCTGGAAGGCTCATTTATAAAGCTTCGCTTTTGTTATTTTTACCTTCCCAGGGTTGGAAGCTCCATCTCAACATCACAATTGTGTATAAATAGAGAGTGTAGGTCACCATTTCCACACAAATACTTTTCAACATCAGACTACACGTTGTACTACATTTGTAGTGTTACAACATACCAGTATGCTGAAAGGTACAAAGCTAGCAGTGAAATCAACATTCAGCCTGCTAAGGTAGCCTTTTGGCACCAAAATGTTAGGCAGCAGGGTGAGGGTTAAAACAAACCTAACACTGAGTTAGCTAATTCTCCTCCAACACTACAGGTGTTAGTTTATATACCTGTGCAAAAATAGACTATTTTTAGCACATGAGGTGAGATAGAAGAATACAGCTCTAATGTCTGGCCTTTTGTCACACTTAGATCCTGTAGGTCAGTTCCATTGGTCCACTGTTACATCTCATCAGAGCAGTTAGTAAAAAATGTCTCTCTATTGTTCAGCAGGGCTCCAAAAATCTGCACTTTCTGTCTACATCTATTCAACATTTACTTCACCTGGTCTCTATTCTAGAAAACAACGAAATTTCCTTTTTGGGGCCTAGGGCAATATCTATATAGTATAACGTTATATATCTGTACATGTACATTTCATGTAAAGCATTGAAACAACAATGTCTATCTATGTCCATCCACCTGAACACATAGGGAGTGCTGCTTAAAATCACCACATGACTGGGTCCATGTGTTCACCAATATGGTTATACATGGTTTCATTCATCACTTCACTTATCTAAAGGTCAACAAATTTATCCACTTGGTCCAATATGGTAAACCACATGGGTTGACATGGTAGCCCATACAGGTTGACATGTTAACCCATGTGGGATGACATATTGACCCAGGTGGGAAGACAAATTTACCTATGTGGGTCGACATGTTAACCCACGTAGGTCCATGCATAGTTTTCTATGCAAATTCACATGGGTCAAGCCAGGGATTCTTGGTCTTCTACACTAACTACAAAGTATGGGAAATTGAAATAAAGACATATATATTGCAAGTGCCTGATTGTACTCAATATACATTGTACTAACAAAGACTGGGAACACTTTTACAACCTGTATGGTTTGTAATGCATCCTTCAACACCCCTGTTTATCTGCTAATTGTACAGAGCTTGTGATATTACAGACCTATCACAAGCCCAAAGCAATGCAATACCTTACACTCCCTATACAGTTGTTTAACAGTTCTAGCCCCAATACTGTTGTTTGATGGTTGTAGTGCCCCCTATACAGTTTCAGCAGTACTGCGTCCTATACAGTTTTGGCAGGTAATCTCTGCTTGTACATGCCAGCAAGCGCAACGGCTGCAGAGTAGATCATGTCCTGGCGCGACATCCCGGTGAAGGCCCGGTGCCAGTCTGCGTGGTGCACGCCCGGTGTCGTACGCTCTATCGCCTCGCCGCACGTAACCGCCAGCCCCGACCACCGCAGGTTGTAGTCTGTCGGTGTCTCGTCCTGGGCACGTGTGACGGCCTCCGGGGGGATGGGCGTGGCCTGTGTGAACGTCTCCAAGGCAACGCCGTTCAGCGGGTCCTGCAGCACCAAGCAGCCGATGTCAAACCACCTGCAGGGGAAGGAAAAGTTGTGTTTACAACATCACCTGGGAAAGGGAACGTGACTTAAGAATGATGGAAAGTGACATATGGATGCACCAGACTTAAGGATGCATGCACCAGAGTTAAGGATGAACCAGAGTTAAAGATGCTCTACTCACTTGTCTGGGAGCAGCTCGGCAATGAAGTTCTCCACAGAGACACACGGCTGTTTCTCATGGATCACACCGTTTCTCCTAAGGGTGTCAATTCTCTCCTGGGCACCCTGGCAACCAGACACAGGACACATTTATTAACATAATTTATGCACACTCCATTTCTTCAAACGCATAGGGAGCTGTATAAGAACGTCATTGGGAACTGAACTAAGAACCTCATGTTTACAGTGTATACATTCTCAGCTGCCCTACCTTCAGTCCTGCTGCGTATCCCACCGGCTGTGGTGCGATGTTGGACTGCGAAGCCTCGCCTGTGACAGTGGCCTTCCCGAACACCTTCTGGAATGCGGCGCGCACCGCGGCTACCTTCACCTCCTTGTCGGACGCCACAACAATGTCGATGTCACCGCCCGACTCTGGGGAACAATTACTCAGACTTAGTCAGGCCATATCAATTAAGTTTAGATTGAGATCAGAAACATATATATAACTGCAAAAACCATCATGAAAGCAAAGCCTGAGGATCAGGTTTGTGCCTTTGTGCACTCAGTTTTATGGATTGGTAGGTTAGTCATTTTCAAAACATTCCCAGTCTTCACCATTTGTCTATCTTTACTCTATTTACTTGCAGATACAATGTACTACTTTTGGCTGAATGCCTGACGTAAATAATGTTTACAAACAAACACTATATAAATAGCTAACTTACTGATATATGGGGTCATGCCAGGGTCCATGGTTGTGATCATGGTTTCCACAGAACTCTGCAAGAACAGGGGGAAGGAATTACAAACTCAAAATTTGCTAAGTTATGAGAGCTTCTGTGTGTGTTGGTATGTGCCGGTACTAGTATCATCAGTATTGTATAGATGGTATAACTTTCCTTCAGCATAACACACCAGCCTCTGTATCTGTATTGCACTAGTTAGCAGTCTTAACCCTGCAATTTGCACTGTTGGTCCATCATAATTTTGTGCCAAACGGCTACCTTGGCAACCTGAAGGCTAATAAGCACAGTAACTCTTCAAACAAAATATATCTCCAACAGAATCAAGCATGGCTCACGAGTTTCAAACTAGGCAGATACTGCACACCTTGTACATGTGGTCATCTCTATGTGGTACAGGTAAAAGACACTTTGGAACTGACCCATTGATACAGACTACATGTTGCATCTCACCTTTGTTTTTTCCACGACTTTCTGCATGAGTGGGTTCCCTGTGACCCAGCCCCAGAGTCCTGCCCCACTGCTGCCACCACCTCTGTACCTGGGGAGAACAGATATGCTGTTAGTCTTACAGCTTCACCAGTTAGACATGGACATGCACACCCAGACACAAACACACACACACAAACACACACACACACAGAGTAACACACACAGTAACACTAAATACTTAGCTCCTATCCATACCTTCTGAAGTTTTGTTGTTAAACTACAAAGTGGCATGATTGTACCTCATGTCATCCTGTGGATCCGCCAAAGCCTCCGGGAACGTGATGCCAGTCTGCACCCCCTCCGCAGGCCCAGGGGCCAGGGGAGACTGCCCCACACCCAGGGGGGACTGCCCCACACCCAGGGGGGGCTGCCCAACACCCAGAGGAACAGTTGGCATGGCTGTCCTACTGGGAGTTCCCACTGTGTTTATAGAAGAGGGAATATCTGTTGTCACACAACATTATCAACACTACCGTAAGTCACTTCAATTTCAGAAAAACACCAGCACAATTTTGATATCTAGAGCTTAAATAGTCATAACTGTATAACCACCAATCAGTAGGTTATAACTAACCATCAGCAGGTGTAGTGTATAATCACCTGGCATGCTGTATGGGTTGGCTCCCTGCTGGGGACTGTACATTGTGCTGACAGGAGGGGGTGGGGGCTGGTACCCTGGGAACCCTGGGAACCCTGGGCCAGGGGGAGGGGTTTGGAGGGGGGAGTAGGTCTGAGCTGGCCCAGGGGGTGGGGGTTGGAGGGGAGTACCCATGGGGGGTGGGGCCACCGGCGTGCCTGAGGGAAATAAGCATGCAGACGTTAGTGGGTTCCATACAGTACACTACATGCTACAGAGCAGTCATTGCCGACAGGCAACTTACAATTACATTATGTGTAATTCATAAACAAGCACCATTGCCAGCTCCAAACAGTTTTTCACATATTGCAGATGAAAATGAAGCATACTGTGTATTTAGTTGCTGAAAGATATCAGATTTGTACCTTTAGCACACCAAAGTAACTGTTACTACCAGTTGCCTGTTGATTATGGGGTTAGACAGCAGGGTGAAGATTAATGTTATTCAGGAGAACCCTGACTAACCTGGAGGTGCAGTTGCTGCACTGCTGCTAGGTGGCGTCGCTGTGCTGCCCGGTGTGGAGGCAGCGGGAAGCGGGCTGACCGCAGGACTGTCTTCCCCACTCACTTCTTCCATCATCTTGACGCAGTGTCGTTAAGTGCACGATGTGAGGAGGGGGTGCTCTACCTCATGGGCATGGAAAAAATCCCTCAGCATTTTTTTGAAAAATATAACTGAGTTTTCATAGCTGACTTTAAGATACATTAAGAATTGAAAGACAAAAGCTCCATACTTACTGACTCATTCATTCACCAACAGAACCAATAAAATTGAAAATTCATAAATGTGGAATTCTTTTGTATATTCTTCAATGGATTGGGCATCAGCATTAGATTTGACTTGACACCTCAAACATCTGGTTGTCATTTCCAACAAGACAAGAGTTGTGAAGCCATACGGACATCTGAGGTGCATACACTATTATAGTAACATTGTTTGTAGTACATACTGTATATGGGTTGACAAATGTTATTCTTTAAAGTAGTGCACTTTAAATTTAAACTATCCTTTATACTGACTATATTCCAACATATTTCAAATCTCAAACTAACAGGAATATGTTCATGAATTAAAACTCCTACTTTTATGGAGATCTGCTGTTACAAAGTTATAAAAGTTAGCAAAGTCTCAAAATAGGTGGAATTTTCTTAGCCAAAATATGGTTGGCCTAGGTTCGCTAACGGACAGCATAAAACCTTCTTTAAAACATTGCATTCTCAAAAGAAAACAGTGCCAATCAATGTTGAACACACTATACGCTGAATTTGACCTATAGAACAGGCAACAGTACTAAAAGACGAGACGAAAAACTGAAATTTTCGCCAGAAATGTGAAGACCTCACCTTCGTCTGTCTGCTTCTCAGTATAAATATGGCCGCCAGAAGTCGGTCTACCTCAATCAACCGTAGGGGTGACAGGTAATACAAAAGTACAAAACCGTCGCCGAACAACCCAGATAAATCTTAACCAAAGATGTCTACAGAGCTATTATAAAAAATTGATTCTAGTTTGCTCTAAAACAGTACGTTTGGTTGATTATTGGCATCTTTGTTACAATACTGGTTTTAGATTTTACCCGTAACATAGTGTTGCGTTCCCAAACAGGGCACGTCACCATGCCACGTCGGTTTGGCAGCAGTGGCGCACAGCCAGGGCAGGTTGGTTAATGAGTTAAACTTTAACCAAGTCTCCCCAAATATCAACTATCCATGACGGATCATTTCTTGTGCAATCTGAATATAAAACAACTACAGGTATTCATCCAGGGACAGTCTTATTGCTCCAACGTACATTTAAGAGCGCCGCCCTGCGACATCTTCTCCTTTTACATCCAAAACTAAAACCAGACCCCCATCTACGGTATCCAATAGAACTTTACGTAACCTGAAAATAAAGACGCCAAGTTCTCCCTACCTACACACCAGATTAGTCTGCTCTAGTCGTGGATGTGCCAAAAGTCATGTTAACATTCATAAACATCTACGGGCGAATGAAAGGGATTTCCACAGGTTATTTGCTTTGACGGAGGCATGCGCAGTGAGTGCAAACGTACGTTCAAAGATAATCTCAACAATACTCCCTGAGGATGTAATGAATAATATTGTGTAGATCAACGTCTGCCGAAGCAACATTGCAGACTAATCACGGTCGGCACTTTCTAAATAAATACAATACTGTGTGCATGCCTTCAAGGACCAAGACAGATCAGAGAGATTAAAAAGGTAGTCCCCACATTGAACAGATTCAAGGACAAAAGACGCTGAAAGCGAAATCAGGCCTTTTTATTTTGTCTCAGACATGCCGTCTTCACTCACAGAGCCACATGTTTTATATGAGGGTTGTACTTCGTTAGTTAGCCGAGTTGAGATGATGGTCCTAGAGAGCCGCATATTGTTCCTACTAGTCTTTAATTATTATTTATACAATATTTTTCTACAGAGAATGTCACCAGTTTAAACATTCATCATCATCATAATCATCATCAGTGCCATGTCAAAGGGTGGTTAAGCAGTTTCAGTTTATCAAAAAAGTAGTTGCATTTTGTTGTGTATATACCGGTACAGAATGTTCAAAAATTAATAAAAACTTATGGTGCTACTAATCAAGCATGTTTAGCATTCTTTACATTTATTACAATTTTGCCCCGACAGAACTAAGACGGAAACATACATAGTACTTTTTCTGTTCTAAAATTCATATTCCACAAAGGATCATCACACATACATCCATATTTTATATCTTACATGCACAGTTTTCTAAGTTTCAACTTTCTGAAATGTGCATTTGATTATTTATAAATATACAAGGCACCACTGTAACGCAGTGTAAAGTCTTAAGCCAGTTTACCCTGGCTAAACAAACAAACAAACAAACAAACAAATAATAAATAAATAATTACAGCAAGGATCAAGAATTCGGAGATCTCACACCTCCATTAAATATGTAGAGTTTTTATACATGTCTTTTTGGATTTGTCTCATTGATAATGGAAATAACGTCATAATTACCATAATTATGGTTTTCTAAACACAAATTACAATATTTTGCGTGTGAAATTCCTATCCTTTGTTTCATTTTAACATGTCCTCATTAATTATGCAAATTGTCTCTTCATTAACATAATATATGCGTAGTAATGTTAGACTTTAAGAAACTTACACATGTCACAAGGAATACAATTCCCAGCATTCACCACTAAGGTATCCAAGAATTTTCTCATATCATGCAAATTAGGTCATTTTTTGCTGTTGATGTTCCACGTGCCATAGATTACACCCATTACGCGTGTGAAAGTACATGTACTATTATGGAAAACACTGCAATTAGAGAAGTTATTCCTTAATTATGCAAATGAAGTCTTTATTTGCATCATTTGTATTTAATTATGTGCATCTCTCATTAAGCTCTCTAATGCAAAAGATGATGAAAATACCTTGTTCTTTTCTGGACTTATCCGTTTAAAAAAACTTCCAGAACAAGCTGCTAGGGGGACAAAACCCATATCATTTATTCCTGACAGGAAAAGCTATCTGTCACCAAAAAGTCAAACCCATAGCATGTTCAGGACAAGAGATACAAAAACTGTAAGTTCTGCTGCAGTACCAAGGTCAACCACACTAGGAGGCCCATATTTGACCTTGACCTTTGCCTTTCTACGACCTACTAACAGACCAAATATCATCACAATCCATAAAGATATTTTGAAGTTATGATGAAAACACATGTCATGATCACCAGCTTTTCCCTTGCTCCTGCTCATTCCACCCTCCGCACCAGATCACTCGTGATGAGTACCGGCGAGGCAGAAGCACCAGGCGTTCCAGGTCGTCCCGCGGGTACACTGGTGAAATCCCTTCTTGTTCAAACAGTTCGCCCTTTAAGAAAACACAACACGCATGTAAGCAGAGAGGACACGTTCGGACGACGCTACATGCAGATTGCCGTCTTAGAGGCTGCCCCGTCTTAGTCTGTCTACTAACCTGAAGCTGTGCATGACCAAGCCAGATCTCGCGTCCGATATCCATCCGCACTTGCACAGCCAGAGCCCGTCCGGCTTATCCCCATACAGCTGGTCCAGGGTCGCCAGGACGGCTCCCTTCCCTGCGCATGCTTCGCGAGCTTCATTAAAGCCATACCTGTACCGGCCGTCTGGTGACTCCAGGTGGAAAACCTGTCCTGCAAAGAAAAGGACGCAATGCTACCATGAGGCAAATCATGATACCACCAAAAAACGTAACAAGTCTTGCTACTAAAATACCAAAGTGGCTATTGTCCGCTATACTATAGCTACTGTACTGTGTTTACGGTAATGCGCTTCTGTGAACCTTTATAATTTCTACGAACCTGGATTTCTGCACCAGTCAGCCTTCACGTTATTCTGCTGGAGCTTCGTCTCCTCTAGATGAACATTTTGCTTCTCATCCCGGTGATCTTCAAGGGCAGGTAGACTGGATAATTCTCCGCAGCTGTCGAGACGATTCTTAAGGGTAGAAACATGGCCCTCAAGACGGCTGACCAGAGCTGAGTGGGTCTTGAGCTGCTCCTCCAGGGTAGACACTTGGCCCTCCAGACGGCTGACTAGAGCTGAGCTGGTGTCTAGGCGTTCCTTAAATGTCGACAATTGGCCTTCCAGACGGCTGACCTGTGCTGAGCGCGTCTTGAGGTGTCCCTCAAGATTGGACACTTGGCCCTCCAGACGGCTGGCCATCGTTGAGTGACTATCCAGGCGTTCCTCCAGGGTGGACCCTTGGCCTTCCAGGCGGCTGACCAAAGCTGAGCGGGTGTCCAGGCGTTCCTTAAAAATCAATACTTGCTCCTCCAGACGGCTGACTAGATCTGAGCGCGTCTCAAACTGTTCCTCCAGGGTGGACACTTGGCCCTTCAGACGACTGATCAGAGCTGCGTCCTTTCGAGAGAGTGGTGCCTTAATGATAGATACATGGCTCTTGACCAGTGCTGAGCGCGTCTTGAGGTGTTTGTCAAGGGTCGACACTTGGTCCTCCAGACGGCTAACCAGGGCGGTGCGGTTCTCCAGGCGTTCCTCAAGGGTCGGCACTTGGTCCTCCAGACGGCTAACCAGTGCGGTGCGGTTCTCCAGGCGTTCCTCAAGGGTCGTCACTTGGTCCTCAAGACGAGAGAACAGCGCTTTTCTCTGCTCGTGCAGGTGTTTGTGGCTTGAAAGCTGGTCCTCCAGACGGTTTACCAGTACTGCGTGGCTCTCAAAGTGCTGCTTAAGTGATGATACCTCGTTTTTCAAATGGCTGTCCAGCACCGAACTGTTCTCGAGATGTTCCCTAAAGGTTGCCTGAAGGTTATCAACGCGATCTTCACGGACCGATAACTTGTCCCTCAGAGTTCCTATCAGCGCTGTTTGGTTCTCAAAGCGGCCCTCAAGGGCCCATACTCGGATCTCCAGAACGTGAACCAGTTCTGAACCTTGCTTTCCGGTTGACGACCCGTTCTTCAAATATCCAACCAGTGCAGTGCGGTCCTCAGCGCGGTTCTCAGTGATGTTAAAATGCTCCATAAAGTCGTTGACCAGTGCTGAGCCGTTGTCAAGTCGTTTCCCGATGGTGGTTATTTTGTTTTCCTGACGACTGGTGAATGCTGATCGGTTCTTGGCGTGTTCCTTAAGGATGAAGAATTCGTCCTGTAGTCTGCTGAGGATAGCGTCGCGGCTTTTGACACGTTCCCCGAGGATCAATACTTGGTTCTCAAGACGGCGTATCAGTGCTGATCGGCTCATAAGCTGTATTGAAAGTTTAAAGAAATGGTAATAAAACATTAGCGTTTGACAAATAATCATGTACTATATATTTGACACAAAGTACTCATTTATTCATAAATCGATTTCAGCTATTCACAGTTAGAATTCATTTGCGTCAGTACCAGCAGAAAGGAAGAAGAAACTAACCGCATCAAAATCTGGATGTGGGGAGGTGATTTGTACCAGGATGAGTGCAAGAGACGTTATCAGCGTTACCACGACGACGGTTGCCTTGACAACGTTGACAAGCCGGGAGCATGACAGAAAATCACGTACTCGACTACGCCAGCCATTTCCCTCATCTGGTTCGTCTGAAATATACGGTGGTAGTTTTCAAGAAATGTATCCAGACAATTTTCCCATTTGTCCAAATTCTACTATCCATAACCCCTGAGCTTAGAGTAGCCTGGTTGACGCTACTATATGGAATGAACGTAGTGCTGACCTGGAGACTCATTAGAGGCGTCTGTGGTGTTGCCGTCAACCACGAGTCCCTGGCTTCGGTCCTGCCGTCCGTCTGGTCGGCTGACACCAGGGTCGTTCTCACGGTTTGCTTCAATTAACAATTTTTGATAAATTTTCAATAATCACAATTTTCAATCGTTTCCACTCATCTACAAGTGGTTTCAGTGATTCACTATTGTTTTGAATCATTCACAGTTGTTTCAAATTATCATCATTTTTTAGATCATTCACAATTGTTTTTTTATATCATTTACAATTGTTTTAAATCATTCCCAAAACCTTCGCAATTGTTTTTAATTAATCACAGTGCTAATCAGCTTTACCATACCAGATTCACCCAAACCCCAAATATGATAATTTCATTACTGACCTGAGGAATTCGTGGAGTAGAAGGGGTTGGCGTTCATGTGATTGATGACGTCTTCTACCTGTGCCTGTCGGCCTCCCCTGGTCACCCCTGGGCCGGTGCCCTGTGCTCCGCCGTCTTGTCGAAGGTTCCGGACGGGAGGGATCGGGACCGGCCGCGCCATGGCAGCCGGACGTACCAACTGATCAAGTACAGGACGTGCACACAGTATTGTATCTGTTCAAAAAGTACCGATATTAGTCTGCAACGTGTCTTTGGCAGACCTTGATCTAATACTATTCTTTACCTTTCGGATAGGATTATCCTTCAGATGTGTCACAGCAAACAGCTTGTGGAAATCCGTTCCATTCGCCCGTCGATGTTGATAAACATGAATTCGGACACATGTACACCCACGCCACGACTGGAGCAGATTGATCCGGTGTGTAGGTGGGGAGAACCTGGCGTCTTTATTTGCCGGTTACGCAACTACAAACACGTGGATACTTCCAGACGGGGGCGTAGATTGCATTCTTCAAAGTTTCTGGAACGCTTTTGGAACACCTTCAAACAATGGAACACCTTACAACATCTTACAACGTGGGTTTTCTTACGGATGTAAGAAGATTACGGAGATTCAGACGGATTTTAAGAAAAAATATAGTGAACAGCGAAACAACAGCTCGGCTTAGTTTGTCGTAGAAAGTCTGTCTTGGTACAAGTTATGAATCGCTCCGTGGTTCTATATATGCATATAAGCATTTTACTTGAGGAACAAATTGCATTTTTGTTTTCTAGTCTCACGAACCTGCCCGAGAAAGAAACGGGTTTACCTTAACGTCATAAACCAAAGACTCAAAATATGAATTTTGTTGCCTTCTGTACCACATAGTGTCAATACGCGTAGCGACTCTTGTGTCACTTGTCAAAGTAATTATCCCGGACTGACCCAAACACAACTTTCCTGAAGCGATCAGAAATATTGCAAACAGCCCTACATCAAGTCTTGCTAAATATCCGATGTTATGGGCTAGTTTCTGGTCACCTATCGGCCTTGAACAACCGTTCCTAACATGTGACAGCTTAGTGCAAGTATGTAAAGAGAAGAATATATCAGGAAAAAAACAACACACAAAAAACTCATTTCTCAGTTTTACTCACCAACAAAAACGCTTCAGGGCACCCAAATACAACGCCTGCTCGGCTGAAAATACAGATAAATATTGCACCAATAGAAGAGGTACTGATAGCATATTCATTAATTTGTTTTCGCCCAGTCACCATAGATGTGCTGCTTTTTACGATCTGGTATGGTTTTCATCAAAACGCTAAGCTAAAGCTTAAGTACATTCGCACGTACACTGATAATAGCTGAGCTAGTGGGCGTTTTTTAAACATAAACATATATGAAGAGTAAACAATGGATGTACCTTTAGCCTTCTTTGAAAACAAATATTTTTCGAATACAAATACAAATACATGTATGATAAATACTATCACGACTAAAACACCTTATTCCACGTACTGACTTACTGTACTGCACTTCTCATACATATTTGGTCCAAGTTCCGACTGCAATGGTCACTAGCTCATATGCGCATGCAAATATACTTATTGGCTATATCTTTAAGGCTCTTAGCAAATTTACATATAATACCTGCATACAATGCTTATATTTTGCTTTAATCCTGTATGTTCTACATCTGGAAGACCTACCAAAGCATTGCATAGAAAAAAATCTCATTTCATGCTTTTATCTTGGCCGTAGCATACCTGCACCTATTAATAATAATAATAATAATAAAATATCGTGTACACTGTGTCTAGAATGACCTTTGGTCTGGAGGAGGCACCGGGGAAAACAACATGCCCATAGATGACTGCATGAAAGCACGACAGATGATGAAAGAGAACAGAATGGTTGCTGATTTCGCCCCATTGTACATCCGATTTTGGACACTGTGTAATCCATTACATGCAAGATCCAATGCAAGGTATAGTGGAAGTGTCTTATAAACTTTCTCATATTTGACGTTAATTTTAGGGAAGTATTGGTCACCATCTAGATCTGAGATGCTAAATAATAAACTGAAACTGTTTCAGTGTGATCACAAGCAACTGGTTCGTTTTACAGTTTACACAATTGTTAATTGAGTATATTTTGTAAGCTGTCTGGTCTATACTAAAGCATATCGCCATTTCATAATCACCAACTACCTTTCAAATGATCACGATGTAGGAACGTGATGACCATGTGATCTACAGTGGTCAGGACGTGAGTATGTGACGGCAATGTGGTCCTCGCGTGATAAGGATGTAAGCACGTGATGACCACGTGCCCCACACGTGATTAGATGGGAGGGGGGCTCCTGTGCTTGAGCATGAAGCGCCAGGACTGGCGGAAGCTGTTCTGCAGGTGACAACTGCCTCTCTCCCAGCCCAGGAGCATCCCCATCATCCCACCAGGAAACAGCGAGGACAGGAGGAAGAAGAGGAGGAGGAGGAGGAAGAGCAGCGGGAGCAGCCAGACGCACAGGCGGCAAATCCGCGCGAAGCAGGCCTGGGAGGTCTTCCTGCTTCCCTCGACGAGGTAGGCATCTTCTTTCAACCTTGTTTTGTTGCCACTTTTAACGCTACTGGAAGTGAATAATAGAAGAATTTGAGAATCATTGATGTTTTTCACAATGACATTGAGTTTTTTTCGTGGACGTTAACTGATTTCCATTTTGTTGAATCATTTATTTACTATAACTGACTATTGTCGAAAGACCTACCTTCCGGTTATAGTGACGCCTGGAGTAGACACCGCCGTTGTGTCGGTCTCGTCAACGCCACGCTGTAATAAAAGACATAAGAAATTAGTTTTTAAGGAAATCATCTGCATGGAAACCACGCAGGTCGTCTACGTATAGACATCCATAGAATGGTGCTACAGCAAAGGTTCTTCTTCGTGGCGAGAGAAGGTCAACCCAAATGGAGATGACCATGATCACCAGTATAGTAGCGGACTCAAACCTCTTTTGTACATGCTTGAGGGATGCCAGAGTCTTCTAAGTGTCACCAAAAGGAGCAGCTATAGCAAGTTATATGCTGTAACACGTGTGCCAATCAAAGCGCTAAGATCAGTGGAACATACGACACCAGCAGTCATGAACGGAAAATGCAACAACACGATGCACTAGCATGAAGCACAGGCGCGTAAGCATGTACCGGATGCAATTGACCGGCGAAGCAAACTAGAAAGGCATTGGCGGAAGTGTCACACGAACAGAAGCAGCAGATACACACGAGCAGCCATTCTCATAGGATAACTATTAACAATGCTTACAGTTAAATGTGCAATGGTTAGGTGTAACTAAGGAGATACACGTCCTTGGTGTAACCAGGTGCTGTTGCGTTAGAAGCGCTGAACTCTCGTTGAGAACTACGAAATGCGCCCTCACTCACTGTGCTTACAGCCTTATGAGGTTTTGCACATATAAATGAAGAAAAAGCAGTAGTAGCAGCAGCAGGAAACATATATGAAGCCCATCGACAATAGGAAACAGTATCATAGCTCCCCATAGCTGTGCAAACGTCAAAGAGGGCATAGACAGCAACCTAGGCAATCAGAACGTCCAAAAGAAATTACCGTCAGCGTGGTTTCTCGCCTGACGGATTTTCCCCAGGAGTAGGATGCCAGTTGCCGCATCCCGGACTCGCCGTGTGACGTCACGTCGGGTTGGACACACTGGGAGGAATGTTTTATCGTTGACGTTGTAGATTGTCGACGGAAAAAGCGCCACCAGCCGGATTTCGCAGACGATGCATCTAGCTCATCCTGATCCTGAAAACAATGTCGTCTAAAACATTACGAACTAATTAATAATGCCTTGCCAGCCAAGGGCAATGCGATGTTGGATCGTCAAACTGACGAGATCTTTACCGACTTGAAATGGTCAATCTGTAAACCAAAGAACTTTTCATTAGTGTACAAAGGCATTATTCAAGAACAAAGCAAACAACGCTCCTGTTTCTGGAAACGAAAGAAAAGGGTTATAGAATTCCCAATTTCCACAAGCACCGGTTTCAACTACTTGAAAACCCTGAATCCCAAGCAAAACAGATACTGCACACTATAAAGGCCATCTACAAACCTCTACAACCGACAGAAGAAGGTTGAACTTTGCGTAAACTGGCCTTATGCAGTTTGCTAACAGAGGGCGGAATGGCTGCTGTTCTGCTGTCTTTCCATCTTTATTCACCTAAAACCTTTGGAAAGGCACCCCACCGGAGCTACAGTTAACGACCAACAAGCGGCTAGAGGAACCCAAAGGGCGAAACGATCATGGACACCTCAGTGTTGACATCTGCCTGGCTGTGTTGTGCGTATATTGAGTCATCGACGCGGCAATACCGCCTCCTCTCAGCAGACGTCTCCACCAGCTCGCCTGGACGGTGTGCTCAGCAGTGTTGTGACTCTGTGATGTGACATGGAAGCAGCAAAATATCACGTATCAGCAAAATTTGGTGAAGGACCTTCAACTTCTAAGGGAAAAATTGCAACCACGTTGTCCCTTTCGAGTCACCAGTAACTTCCCAGACGATTCACCACGACAGTGTGGGAACTATCACCACCTGAAGGAAATATTTGGAAACTTCAGGCGTGCGTCTGCTCCTCCAACATGGTAAAGCCAGACACTTTCCCACAACAAAACCTAGAAACCTCAAGAGCGCCAGTGATCTCAGCGAAAGCCTGTCTATTACAAGTTCATATTACCATGCACGTGTTCTCCTTTCTGCTGACGGATTTGCCCCAGAAGCTGGGCTCCATTTGCTGAAACCAGGAGGCGCGGTGTGACATCGTGTCCTCTTGTACTGACTGGGAGGGCAGGCTGGTTGTCGTGCCTGTTGATCGTAGCCAGAAACTGCGCCACCAGCCGGATTTTGTGGGAGAAGCATTCGGCGTGTCTTCAACCTGAAAAGAATAATTCCGTCTGATACCACTAAAGTATAGCTAAAGCTTTCTAGGGGAAGGATTGGGAACCTTTTCTCTTGCAAGATATAAACCTGGAACCGAGCCACCAACACAATTATACAGCGTTTGCATCAAAGGAAACTCTGCCTCCTCACCTCCTTTAACTTTAAGGACACACTATGCACACTGCAAGAGACAGGAACCACCATGGTCACCAGACATCTACGGAAACTGCAAAAGATAGGCAACGATATGGCCAACCAAGGAATGTATTCGATTCATATTGTAGGCCTTTGGCAGGGTTTGCAGTGAAGTATCGGGTTCGGAAGAGCTTGATTCGCTTACTAGCTACGCGCAGGTCCGTCCACCGGTCACCTCCACGCATGCCCTTAGATTTGCTACCACCACCAGATTTTGTAAAGAAAACAAACGTCAGGAAAAAAGTGCCAATGTGCACACTACATGAATACATAAATGCGTTGTACTGAACTCTCAATACCAATACGCGATGTCGACAACCACCAATTCCTACACCCCTGTGCCACCATCAAATGTCATCTGAGAATCAGAGAGAACATAATCCCCGGCTGAGAATCCTCTCCACCAGCACACCACTCAGCGGAACTGTAAAACGGACAAAGTTACCCTGTGTGTTTGCGTGGTGGGAAGCTTCCCCCACATGTGTACGCCCATCTGTGTGTTACCAGAAGACGAAGATGCTCCCACTGTTGTTCTGTCCTCGACGATTTCTCGCCCAGACGTGCCTCTCTCGTCAAAATCACTTGTCGACGGAGGTTCTCTCTACGACAGTAAAGTAAGGATGAAGATTATCTCTTAACTGCGTAATGGCTGTGCCTATACCCGTACCACCACATGCGTAATTGCTCTCAAAAGCTTCTCAGAAGCTCTAACTTTGCAGAAGTGGTACTCCCTTCCAAAGGCATAGAAAGATGCTTGGATGGAGTGATATCTCACCAATATATAAGCCCTTACACCTCTGTTGCCCAGATAGTAAGACTACCGAAGACCCTACGCAGTGCACATTAGGTAGTTGGTACCCCTAGATTGTGTGTTGTGACGATGTTCCCCTGATGAATGTTCTCCCCTTGTGCATCCCTGTCGGTCTTTATAGTCACAGATACCACGCTATCTTCTCTGCTTCCTGTCACATCTGTTAGACAGACTTTAGTAGTTCCAACCCCGCTTGTTCCTACGTCACTAGGGGCTACGTCATCGCTCGCTCGGCCATTGTCTGCCAAGTCACCAGTCTAATGAAGATAAGATTAGATTTGTGGCATCTGGATATGGCAAAAGCTTAAAACTGCTATCATGTATCAGAACTCATTCGAAATCAATCATGCAATTCAATAAATAAACGAGAAAAGCGTTACAGGTAATCCGAAATCCACCGGAGTTTGATGAATTTCTATCATTTTTTCTTCTATTGTACCATACATCGCAAAACTGAAGCTACAATCACATAGATGAGATAGACCAGATAGACCACCTTTTCGTTACACACAGAACTAACGGTACTCCAGTTTGTCACATCCAACTGCACATTCCCAAGCACTCTCTTGTTCTTTTTATAGTCCATACCACGACTGCCATCTACCTGAAGGTTCCCCTGAAAGGGAAACATTTGTGAGATCTTGGCTACATCAGAAGGAACTAGCCATATGTCATTGTCATCACCCAGCCAATCATACAATCTGAGGCATAGTAATCGGAACAAGTGCCAAACACGCCTATTACAAGCACAACACAGTTAATCATGTGAAAGATTGGGAAGACTAACCGTTTGGGTTTCCTGGTGTAGACCGTAGGATGTTGTTGAACCTTCTGCGTGCCCGGTACCTCCTTTCGACCGGCGTTTCGTTGTCGTCTCTGTGACATCGACCGAGTACCTCTCCGACCTTCCACCACTCTCGCCCACCCGCTGTTCTGTGGTCGAGGACTCAACGACGTGCCCACCTGACGCGTCGACTTCATCCGTCTTCAGATAGCTTCCTGGACCGCCATCGTGACTACCAGCTCCGTGTGTCACTTTTTCAATGCTCAAGCCTTCCTCGGTTGTAGTTGTTGTCTGGTGTTCAGAAGATGACGTCACCACCACGTACTCCCCAGACGCTGTTAGGACGCGTCTCGGACCGGCGAGACCAGGAATGTCTTCAGTGCCTTCTATGGTAGTTGTTTTCTGCTCTTCCGAAGATTCCGTCACAACGACATACTGTCCTGAAGGCGTAAGGACACGTTTTGGACCGGAAAGACCAGAGTGGTCTTCGGCTTGCACCGTTGTAGTCGTCGTGGTCTGCCCTTCCGTTGCCATCGTCACGTGCTCCCCTGAGGCCGTCAGGACGTGCCTCGGACCCGACAGACCAGGGCGGTCCTCGGCTTGGGCGCTCGTAGTTGTTGTTTGCTCTTCCGAAGACTCTGTTACTACTACATACTCTCCTGAAGAGGTGAGCACGCGCTTCGGGCCGGACAGGCCAGGGCGGTCCTTGGATTTGGTGGTCGTAGTTTTTGTTTGCTCTTCTGAAGACTCTGTTACAACAACATACTCTCCTGAAGGTGTAAGAACGCGCTTTGGACCGGACAGACCAGGGTGGTCTTCGGCTTGGGTGGTCGTAGTTGCTGTTTGCTCTTCCGAAGACTTTGTTAAAAGGACATATTCTCCAGATGGTGTAAGGACGCGTTTTGGACCAGAAAGACCGGACCGGTCCACGGCTGTTACCGATGCAGTCGTCATCTGTTCTTTCGAAGATTTTGCAATGACATACTCTCCTGAAGCGGTGAGAACCCGTTTTGGACCGGAAAGACCAGGGTGATCCTCGGCGGAGACTGCTGAAGTCGTCGTCTGTTCTTCCGATGTCGTCATCATGTATTCTCCTGTCAGGGCGCGTTTCGGACCGGACAGACAAGGGCGGTTCTCGGTTGTGACCGTCGTTGTCGTCTGGTCTTCTGAAGACGTTACTACGGCATACTCTCTCGAAGCGGTAAGGATGCGTTTTGGGCCGGATAGACCAGGGCGGTCTGCTGCTTGGGTAGTTGCATGATGACTTGAATCAGAACCTCCGTAGAAGTCCGTCCTCTCCATGGTCGTGTCGCCTTTGTCGCCTCCGTGACGGACCGTGGAGGTTGCGGATGCCACGACGTACTCACCGGCAGCTGTCAGGACTCGTCTCGGGCCGGATAACTCAGGAGCATCAACAGCACGAGCTTCGGCCATGGCCAGCTGACCGTCGCTGCCACCTCCCGCTGATCCATTGATTTGACTGCGTCTTGTTTGCTGCTGTGACATGTTTTCATCCATGGTGTAGGTTTCGGTGATGATGCATCCTGACTGTCGTCCATCAGATTCTGTGAGAAAGGACAAAGGGGAAATTCTTATTAAGATTTCTATATCCATCTTCTGCTGGGTGATATATGATTTTACAATAGAACTGATAAGTTTTCCAACGCTTACATAGCTTTTATGTAAATAAAAAGTATCATACACTCTCGATTTTCATCATATGAACAATTGATACAAACAGATAAGTCTCCCACATTGTCCTACCGACTATACTTCGTATGGACACTTTTAGTTACATTTAGCAAACTAAAGCCTTGTGTATCAGCGATAAGAGTCTGGCGCCACCGACAGGAGACTATGCCAGAAAGATCCAAACTGATGTTCCAGAGCCTGAAAGCTGATATGCCACCAAACTTATTTGTTTCATTTACTGACATACCACTTACGAATTTACCGGGAGATGTGGTTGCAGTATTAGGTGGTGATAATTCATGAGAATGACTGGAGTGAGTGTTACAATCAGGAAATTTGTCCTCTGCTAGCTCTTCGCATTCATCTGCATCTTCGGTGAAGTCATTAGTGTCACAACTGTACACGTCACTGCCAACAGGCTGGACGATAGTTGTCGTTATGACGTCGGTTGACATATCTACGAAGTGTGACCTGGACGTGACGTCGGTTGAAACCTCGGTTAGAGTCAATGTTCCGCCCGGCGCAGGGAATTGTGCTGTTGGGGTTGGTTCCACTAGGTCATCGTTCACCTCTGCCGGTGGCACCTGGTCGCCAGTGTCGGTATCCTCGTCATCAGACCTGAGGATCAAGCTTCTAGCCCCGGCTTTAGCCACAGCGGCGAGATGGACGCAGGCAGTGGCCGCTTGGACGGCCCTCTCCAAGGAAACCCCCTGATAATAAGCACCTTCTAGCGACACCGAACGATTTCCACTTACAGCTTCCTCATCGAAAGTGCTTATAACAGCCGCGCTTACATTTTTGTTGTCGTCTACAGCAACATAGCTACCTACATTAGCAACTTTACTGCTAAAGGACTCACCGACAAGCTCCTTGTCCGTAGCACCGGCGGGAACGCCTGATTGGCCACCAAAAGGGGTTGTTGCATCATCAGTGCCTGGGGTTTCACGGTTCTTTTCCGTGACTTTATCAGAGTTGCTTGTATCATGGCTTATGCTACTAGCGCTATGCGCGTTAGATAGGGTCGACATGCATTCAATAGCAGATTCTGAAACAGTAGGAGGCGACACGCCGCTAACCTGCCGTGCTTCAACCAAGCTATCCCCTGTTCTTATCGTACTATAACTACCCTGCTTACCACCACTGAAGCTCTGCTGTACTCCCGCACCGTCTACTGTTGCAGTTGCAGCAGCAGCGATTCTGGTTCCTTCTCCATCTCCTATAATAGCCCCGCCAAGCGATCCCGCTTTGCCGCTTGTTGTTTCATCGGCTTTTCTGCCTAGATCTCCACCAGCCACCACGTACTCACCAGATGCAGCAACAACTTTCGTGACGCTTATGACACCATAACCTTCACCAGTGTAAGATGCTGTGTCGCTCCCATGAGGAGCAGAGCCAAGGATAACAGTGCCAACTTGCGGGCTTTGGGAGGACTGCGCGACATTTGAAGCTGTGACAGGGTGACCAAGATCATGAGAGGGTGTGTGAGCGGAAACTACATGTACAGTGGTACTGGTACCATCAACAGCATCAGTACTTCCACCTGGAGACGATATTATATATTCTCCAGATGGGATAACAATACGTTCTGGACCACTCAGGTCAGGTACTGGTACACTTTCTACCTGTCCCACAAGAGTTACGGAATCGACAGTGGCACCAGTACCAACTGGAGGAACACCCGTGATGGAAGTGGTACCAGTACCATAAATCACTTCGCCTGTGGAAGAAGTGCAAGCACCAACAGGTGTACCTTCACCAATGTTGACGGTACCAATGGCAACAGAAGTACCTTCACCAATGTTGGCGGTACCAACAGCAACAGGGGTACCTTCACCGATGGTACCAGTACCACCACCAATAGGAGACTCTCCGCCGGTGGTACCAGTATCAGCAGTAGCACTAGAGACGACCGCGTTACGTTTACCAGTAGAATCTACCACCATGTATTCACCAGAGGGCAGGAGCACACGTTGCGGGCCAGATACCACTACCTTTTCAACTTCACCCTCATCAGAGCCTGAAGCAGCAGAAGCAGTGCTGGATACATTTGTAATCGTGGAGCCGCTAAAGGAACATGCACTTCCCCCACTGGAATCCACCACCACGTATTCACCAGAAGGCATCAGTACTCGCTTTGGACCGACAAGCTCGGGAATGGGGACTTTTCCAACGTCACCCGCAACAGCGGAAGGTACAGCAGAAGTAGTAGCACTGACACTGTCTGTAAGAGTGGTATTTTTTCCAGTAGAACCCACCACCACATATTCACCGGATGGAAGAAGTACGCGTTGCGGACCAGAAAGTTCAGGTGTTGCTACCTTTGCACCAATGGCAGTAGGGGTACCAGTGACAGCAGGGTTACCAATGACAGCAGGGTTATCAGTGACAGCAGGGGTACCAATGACAGCAAGGGTACCAGTGACAGCAGCGGTACCAATGACAGCAGCGGTACCAATGACAGCAGGGGTACCAGTGACAGCAGGGGTACCAATGGCAGCAGGGGTACCAGTGACAGCAGGGGTACCAATGACAGCAGGGGTACAAGTGACAGCAGCGGTACCAATGACAGCAGGGGTACCAGTGACAGCAAGGGTACCAATGACAGTAGAGGTACCAGTGACAGCAGGGGTACCAGTGGCACCAGGAGTATGGGTGCCGCCAATTGTGGTGCTCGCACCACCAGAGCTCGAGTCCACCACCACATATTCCCCAGTTGGCAACAAAACTCGCTGTGGACTAACAAGCGGATGTGCCGAGACTATAGCAGCAGGAGGGAGGGCAGACGTCGGCGAGACGGGGGATTCTACAGGCTGACCCGTGGGAGAAACGGTGATGCTGTCAGCTTGGTGTACAACCACCGTCCCAGCCACAGAGATACCAGTACGACCGTCGATAGTAGAGGTCATACCGGTGCTTGCATGAGCAATATTGGAATGGGCAGTAGGGGTCTGGGCTAGGCCTGCGGGACTAGCGCCAGGAGGAACCGCGTGGTTGTGTGTAGCATGACCGGCACCAGCTGCTGGGGATGAATCTGTGTCTGGAACAAAACCCAGATGGGTTTCTGTAGCATGACCCACACTCACACCCATACCCATACCAGCTGGACTAGCTTTCACGAATCCCTGGGAGAAAGCAGCTGAACCCGCATGGGTCTCTGTAGCCTCACCCACACCAATAACACCCACACTCACGTCAGCAGGGCTAGCCTGGGGATTCAAACCTTGGGATATTCCCACAGCAGTAGCAGAACCCGCATGGGTCCCTGTAGCATGACCCGCACCCACACCAACAGGGCTAGTTTGTAATTCGAAACCCTGATTTTCGAAACCCTGGGTCGCAAAACCCTGATTTCCAAAACCAATGGTTCCGAAACTCCGGGATAAGCTGTCAGCTTTAGCAGCATGGCGGCTTGTTAGAGCTTGCGTAGCGCGCCCCTCACCAGTAGCGAAGCTAGCAGAACCCCCGCCTTCAGCAGAGACATAAGCAGCCTCATCGGTCAGGAAGGAACCGTCTGCAGACGAGGGGTGCTCGGTCTTCCGCTTCTTGTAGGAATGGTCCATTTCACGGAGGGGGCGGCGACGGATGGGTGTGCCCTTCGGAGTTGATGATTTGCGGTGGGACGGAGACCAGTCATGCATACTGGAAGGCAAGAAAAAAAATCAATTTATATATAGAGGAACTTTGATGCCTTACGATTTGATCCAAATTAATGCAAAATTAATCAATTGTGAAATTACCATAGGTTCTGTTTTACCTCACATCATCATACCGTCCGAACACCAGTCTCTACGTCTTTTTACAGCAACAGTTTCCCTCTCAAAATCAACCCACAAGACTTCAAAAACAACGTTCGCTGCCAGTTAATACCATAGTCACCTATACCACCCCAACTTAGTTCAGTATCCGCATGCAAACCCTCAAAGAAAAACGTAATGAGGAAACTGACTCGTATTGTATGGTGGTGTACTCCAGTCCATGGTGCTGAAGGGCCAGCTCCAGGTCCAGCTTCATGTGCATCAGCTTCTGGTACTCCTCCCGCTGCTCCTCCAGGCTGCGGTGGAGAGTCTAGGCATGGGAACGGGAGGTATCCGTGAGGGGTTGTTAACAGTAAAGCTATAGTGCTTACTCTTTTGCCTATTGGCTGCTACCCTTAGGTTATGGTAGGAGAAAGTTGCGAAGAACTGCGAAGGTCAAGAATGACCTAGTATCTGTATCTGTATAGCCGGTATAACCGCCTTTCGGCGTAACACACCAGCTTAGTGACTGCTCATAGTTAGATCCAGTACCTATTTGGCCAATGGTTCAAACGTTTCTACACCCGGCCTGAAAAATAGACATTGTCGATAGTTTTTCCTTGAACTTTCAATTTCATTTTCTTTGACTCTGAGCGATATCATGTGTTAAATGCAATTCTTAAGCAGGGGTCACGACGAAAGCTTTTGTCCACTGCCATGCGTTCATGTCGTTTACCTCACCTCTAATTCGACCTCCCTCTTTTCCAGCATCGACACATACTGCGTCACTTCCGTGCTGGCATTGTGGGAAACCTGGTGTACTTCCGCCTGCAGCTGTGCATTCTGGGAAGCAACAATACGCTCATCTTTACACCAATTCTTTAGTAATAAACAACCAAGTTTATAATCCTATTACCAAGTTCTGAACATGACAAACAGGGTTGACCTTGTCGTCCTTTCACCCCCGAAACTTGTGCAAAAGGTTTCTTGTACAGTGGTACAGGGATGGAGTTTAGGGATGCAGTTAGTAATGTTTAAGGTGAAAAGTCTGTTATGGTTCCCCTGCGCCACTACAATGCCGCCATGTTGGGAGGGGCGACCGACTCCTACCCCTTCGCTCCCGGTGATGTACCGCTGCAGCTCTCCCTGCACTCCGAGGACGCCAATCTCAAGCTTTGTGTTCTGAAATCGAGTTGCAGTCACGTCAATCTCTACTAGTTAGGCAAATAAAAATTATTGAAATGGCGCCGGAATCTAATTTGGCTATCCCACTTGTTTTACACTTGAAATCTGTATACTAAAGGCTTACACACACGATTCCGTATTTCTTGCATACGCATGCCTGGAAAACTACAAAAAAACTCTTGATGGATTTCTAGAATCCTTGCAGAATAATCACATGCTATACTATTGTTTTCTCCTGGAAAGCGTCACCATAAACATGTCCTATCTAACGCGTTAAAGTGAGGATATTTGCCATCACTTCAGAGGAGAGTTTGCCAATAAGTCGCACGGTGTTGACGCGTCGTTTCAATGCCAGCTTAACCGTGACCTATAAGCTTCTGGAAAGACGGCTCTATGTAGACGATGTTTGCCTAACACCTGAGCATGCCTTCTCCCACTGGCTGAACATGATACCCATAGCCGCCCGCATCAGTGGCCCATTGTACACCCTGTTTGCGGGCCCGATGGGCCACTACTGCGCCAGACAATGGAGGATGGTGGTTCCCTATTCTACGGCTCATTTAGCTCTGAAGCTCACACAACGGACTGGTTTTAGAAATACCGACTTGGGCGAACATTCCCTTTGTTAAACTTAACACTAATAAAAGGGGGATGTACAGTCTATTCAGGGATAAATTTGGTACGGAAAGCTCCTTTCACTCAGGGCCAGTGTTACACTTCGAGTATACAACAAGCCCGGCTCGTACTTTTAAAGTTTTCTTGTCCCAGATCGCCTGTTCAACAAGAAGCAACCAGATGATGTTGACATCGCGAGGAATCCTGCGGCCTTGTTATAAGCCGGTTTATTATTTTGAACTTGTAACCATTCAGATAAGGGCCTTCGACTTTGACATATTACCCACAATGCACCACACTGCACACGCGCATTTGTACCA